CTAGTTATGGCTTGGACTAGTTGTTAGTCCATCCACTAGTCCAAGATCCTCACGTGCTAAACTTTAGCTAACTAGTTGTTAGTCCGTGGGATCCAAACAGACCCTTATTTGGTATCCTAGACATCGGTATTTATATATATATATATTGGTCAAACTTGAGATCGAACAAGGCCTTAAATTTGACCTATTATTGATCTAGTAGTAATAAATTTTAAATGCTAGAAATACACTTTTATTTTGGAACATTCTCCTAGCTGTGGCCCTAAATTTGACCAATGAATGAGGCCTTATTTAGATTGCAATTTTTTGCAATCTGGACATTGTAGCATGTTTCGTTTGTATTTGATAAACTTTGTCCGATCATGGACTAACTAGGCTCAAAAGATTCGTCTCGTGATTTACAACCAAACTGTGTAATTAGTTATTTTTTTACCTACATTTAATGCTCCATGTATACGTCCAAAAATTGATGTAATGGAGAGAGTGAAAAAATTTGGAATTTTGAGGCAATCTAAACAAGGCCTGAGCAACACCCGGCTGTCCCTTATGAAGATGGGGCTTAAACATAGGCCTTGTTTAGATTCTAAATTTTTGTAATCTGGATACTGTAGCATGTTTCGTTTGTATTTGACAAACTTTGTCCGATCATAGATTAACTAGGCTCAAAAGATCCGTCTCGTGATTTACAAGCAAACTGTATAATTAGTTTTTTTTACCTACATTTAATGCTCCATGCATGCGTCCAAAAATTGATGTGATAGAGAGAGAGTGAAAAAACTTGGAATTTGAAGCCAATATAAACAAGGCCATAATCTTTGCCCTTGTTTAGTTCGTGAAATTTGGATTTTGGGGCTACTGTAGTACCTTCGTTTTTATTTGGCAAATAGTGTTTAAACATGGACTAATTAGGCTCAAAACGTTCGTCTCGCAATTTCTCACCAAACTGTGCAATTAGTTTTTCTTTTCGTCTACATTTAATGCTCCATGCACGGGCCGCAAACATTCGATGTGACAGGTACTATAGCAACTTTTTGGAAATTGGGGTGGAACTAAACAAGGGCTCGCCTGTTCGAGAGGCCGTATCGTATCGTGGATTATTTACTGCTGGCTAATTTGGTGTGAGAGAAAAACACGGTTCCCGGCTGAAAATTTACGATCGTTTATGAGCAAGCGAACAGGCTTTTTATTGGATGGACAAGGCAGTCGTTGTATACGGAGACATGAGTAGATGTGGACGTAGACGGGCGTCAGTCGTATCAGGGAACAGCGGAACAGGAGCTGTAGATATCGAACGTTTCGTGCAGTAGCACAGTTCTACTACTCATCCAGGGGAGCGGGCCGGCGACAAAAGCGAAGTCCGGATGGATATCCCATCCCATCCCTTGGCTGCGGCGGAGGGCCGCGCCGCAGGGCCCCACCTCCCGGACCGCGGGGGACGCGACGAAAGTTCGTCCTCCACTCCACCTCCACTGGTACTACCTCTCGTCCTCATCCCTTGGCGAAACGCTTGGCTGTTTAGATTCAAAAATTTCGCTTTCACTAAATATAGATTTCCACGGTTGGACGAAATTCGGGATTTTACCAATTAGTCTATAATTAGGGCTAAACCCCACCCTGAGTCTACTCAGATCCAAAAAATTTTAATCTAAACGGGCCCTTTTCCACCGACACTTTCGGGATTTTACCAAGGGCGACCCCACCCGGGCTCAGGTTCGGATCCCCTTGCACCAGTACTCCCCGGCGCCCGTACCCGCACCGCAGCCGTGGAGGCCCCGTGGGCGCGTGCGTCCTCGTCGAGGCAACTTGCGTCGAGGCAACTTTCTCCATCACATCAATTTTTGCAATCTGAACACTGTACCCCGGGCGCGCGCGCCAAAGCGGGGCCAGGCAGACGTGCGGACAGCGCTGGAGAGGTGACGGATTCCGCCGCAAGCGGTGGTGGTGCAGCTGACCCGTGATCGCCGCGGATTCGTGGTGGGGCCTGGCGCCGGGTGCGTCAGGGCACAAGTTGCGGCGCGCCTCTGGTGACGGGACACGCCCCTTCATCGTCTCCGCGTCCTTTTGTCCGGCCGTGCGCCGCGCCAGTGCGCCACACCAGAAGAGCCTTTCGCGCCACCGGCGGGCCCGCCGGCTGCTGCGTGCCGCGGCGTCGTCATGCAGCTTGCAAATGGGGCCTCTCATTTTTTTTTGAAACAATGGGGCCTCTCATCAGTGCGCGGAATATCGAGTACTACTACGAGTGGTACTTCAAGAGTGGTAGAGTTGCTAAAAGAAAAGCTGCGTTCTTCTGTTTCGTCCGATATAAATAACGACAACATCTGGGATATGCTCGGAAAAAACCCTCCGTTTCAAATTATAAAACATGTTGAGTTTTCTAAATGCACTGATTTTACTAAATCTGGACATAAGTGTATCTTTATATACGTAATAAAATCTATGCAGGTGTAGGAAGTATTTCGAAGCCGCAGCTATGAGACTTTGTACCCGTTAAACTAGTTTAAGTTTAAGTTTAATTTTGAATAGTTTTAGACATTTGTGCCTTCAATAAGTTTATTTGGATTTCAATAATTAATTTACTGATACTTACTTTTGTATCATTGATGTTAGTATTTTTTATATAATTTTAGTCAAAGTTTAAATTGTTTCACTCCTCAAAACGCGAGTATTTATCTAGAAAAATACAATGGTTCTTTTAATACAATGTAATTTTGTTTTTCGAGAAATCAAACATTTTTTTCGATTTAATCAAACCTATACAAAAAGTTAACATTTATGATACTGAATAAATATTACTAGATTGAATGTATTTTCATTGTATATAAATGTTAACATTTAGATTTGAATATATGATTAGACTAAATAAATAAAAGTCATAAATTTCAATAAATATTTTTAATAAATATAAATAAAATTAAGCAATCTTGACTCAATTTAAATCCATCTAGAATTACAACTTTTTTTTAGAATGGAGGTAGTATTACTTCTCCTCCGGCAGAAAAGACTAGTTTTATTGTTCGGTCGCATGAGGCCTCGGCGGTTCTTTCGTGCGCCACGAGCATTGTCCAAAGTGTGCTCAACAAGTTACTCCTTCACTCGGGGAAGAAAAAAATGCTACTCCTACTCTAACTTTTAGATCCCCGCTAGCTAGCGCAACGGTCGCATAAACAAGGCAACAAAACAGCACCAGAATCTGTTGCTTTGACCGCGCTAGGAGTATCCTCATCTGATGTTTGCTGGAACTTGGTTGAAACCGCGTTGTCATCGTGTTTCCCTGCGATGATGAATCGACTTGGATAGAAAGACATCTATTTACCTTCAGAGCGTACTAAAAGAAAAACATGTAGGTCGTAACGTTTTGAGCCTAATTAATCCATGTTTCAACACTTTTGCCAAATAAAAACGAACGCGTCTTACAAAGAAATTTCAAAATCCAAATGGGTAATAACCAAAAAAAAAATACTCAACTACGTACCATAATATAACGTTGATGAGTGTAGATGTGTACCTTGATGTACTTAGATCCTATATTACGAGTATAAAGCAGATTTTCCCGTACGTACGTACTTCTACGTTAGATGAGTTATTAGTAGGGACCCTAGCTTCTACACGCTCATAGTAGAGGCCCATGCAAAATAGCACGAATAATCCGACCGCCGTTCTCCCCGCGCCGGTGTCTCCCTCCCGTCCGTCCAATGTCCACACGGCGACACACAGATGATGGTGCATCGTGTGACGTGCCCGCTTTTGTCCTTGTACGATCGGTACAAAACCCCGATGGACTTTGGAGCATCCCATGCATGTCGGCCACTGCCCGTCCGTATCCTCTTTAATTTCCTCGTCAGGGTCAGGGCGGGCACGGGCGCACGGCAGCGGCAGGCTCCAATGGCGCGCGCGGCCCGCCGCGACCGCGTTGATCCCCCGTCAACCCCGTACCCGCGAGACTCGGGCCACCGTGCTCGCTCCAAGGGTGTGTTTAGTTGCCTAAACTTTGGACAACCAAAAAGTACACAGCACTGTAGCGGTATTGTAGTATTTTGTTTGTATTTGATAATAATTGTCCAACCTAATTAGGCTTAAAATGTTCGTCTCCCAAAGTACCACTAAACTGTGTAATTAATTATTTTTTTACCTACATTTTATACTCTATATACGTGTTTAAAAATTTGATGTGATATGATGTGATGAAGAATTTTGCACTGTGCAAAATTTAAAAGTGTAAAGTTGGTGGAACTAAACAAGGGCCAAGATCTTTTCCCTTTTGCCTCGGCGCAAACGCCGCATCGAGAACGCGGTTGCGGCCGGTTGGGTCGATCAGTCCGTCGTCATCGTCATCAATCAAACGTTCGTGAGTACTAGTACTACTGCGACTACGCCCCGTTCGGTTTAAAAAAACTTTCTGAAAGTGACTGAAAAAACATTATTTTGGCTAAAATGGGTCTGTTCGTTGGTTCTTGATAAAATATTAGAAAAACCAAAAAAAAAGAATAATATTATGAGAAAAATATTATTGGAAAGCCGAACCAAACCAACCGAATTTAAGGTAAACCGAATGAGACTACTGTTCGTCTATCGTAACGGCGGCCTAACGTTGTAACGTCATCACCAATTATCATGTCCATCACAAACGAAAAAATGGAGCTCACTTTAGTAGGACTATATATTTATTTATATAATTGTTCAATCAAGGAAAAAGAAAAAAAATAGTTACTGGGGTGGGGGGTGGCCACCGGCGCTCTCATCTCGCCCACACGCAAACGGGGCTTCCAGGCCGGCTTCCCCTGGCTACCAGTAGTTTCTTTTCTACTACTGCTACTACACAGCAAAATCCAAGGCCAAAAAAACGAAGAAAAAATGGCCTTGCCGTTGCCGTCGCCGGCGACGACAAGAGAAAACACCTGGCCGCCGGGATAGATCGATCGTCCTGACACACAAACATCCAACGGTGGTCAAGAAACCGCCGTCCTGACATCACACGTACGTCGATCGGCGCGCGGCCTCGATCAGGCAAAAAGGTTGAGCAGCACCGGCTCCCTGTCGCCGCCGGTAGTAGTGGTGACGGAGTCGTCGTCCGAGCTGATGGACGGCGTGCCGGGCCGCAGGAGGGGAGCCCTCCTGTCCCCCGCCGCTGGCGGGGACCCGGGGCTCAGTAGGCACAGCCCTAGGTCGCACGACGCCGCCGCCTCCGCGGGCGCCTGCCGCGCCACAGCGCCCCCGGCGGCGGCAGCGGCCTTCCGCACCCGCTTCGCCGTGGAGAAGGTGGACCAGCCGCCGGCGCGCTTGCCGCCGCCGGGCCCGGGCCCGGGACCGTAGAGGTCGCCGGCGCTCCCGGTGACGCCGAGCTCTGGCAGCGGGCCGATGGCGCCGCCCCGCAGCACGGTGTGGACGGCGGCCTGGCACAGGTGCCAGTTCCCGGTGCCGAGCAGCCCCACCGCGCCGTGCACCGGGTTGATGGTCCGCCCCGCCGCCTCGTACAGCAGCGACTGGAACAAGGCTGCGCATGCGAGGTTCCATCAACAAGACTGGTATAAGCAGGTAGCTGACGGGACGACGGGAACGGATGCATACCAGGGCGGTGCGCGTCCGGGACGGCGGAGATGAAGGAGAGGAGGCCCGCGCGGCCGAAGAACTTGGCGACGAAGACGGTGGCGTGGCCCTGCGCGTCGGCGGCGTCGATCCACTGGAGGCAGGGGCGCAGCACGCAGGCCTCGCTGCAGCCCTTGCGCAGCACCCGGCACCCGTTGCAGCTCATACTACTACTACCGTCGTCCCGGCGGCTCCTCCTCCTCCTGCTCGATCTCTTGGCACCACCAAGCTCATACACTCGCCGCTAAGTACTACTAGCTACTAGTGTAGTAGACTAGGCTAGAAGAAGACCTCTCTCTCCGCTGCCACTGCGAAACCGGAACGAAGAGAACGGCTGGTTCGCTGCCGGTGCCGGGGAAGGAGATATATAGGCACAGCGTAGCTGCGAGAGGCCGCAGCTGGCCTGGAATGAACGAGCAACCATGGTTGGTTAGGTAACCAGAGGCCTGGTTGGGTTGGGCCCGCCAGGTGGTGGTGCGGTGACCGGGGAGGTGAGGCGACCTGCGATGCGAGGAAGTTCCAAAGTCCTGGGGTGCGCGGGCGGCTCCGTGTCTCCGCGGCCGGTCGGGCACCCGCGGGCCGTCGGATGCCGCTTCCGCCCCACGACGGATGATGATGAGCCCTGCATGGTAAATATCATTCCTCCGGCGCTACCTAAGGACGTACAGGAGGGGGATTAATTTTTAATTTTACTACAGTAGGGTCCTGTGCTTCTTCTTATGTTATCCAGACAAGCTGTGTGCTTGGTACTCGCCACCTGGATGTTGTTATCGACCTGGCGCATTGGTAAATTATATATGGTAAATATCATTCATAAGGGCTTCCACCGATCGCAGTTATAACATTTGGATGCTACTCTAATATAACTGAGTGGGTTCAGGACAGCGAAGGAAACACTAATATAACCTCGCTTCATTGCTGCAGCTTGTTTTTTCACAGCTTGCCTAAGAAGTAAGAAGGTACCATGTATATATGGATTTACATCTCCTAGTCACCGTTTGGCCTGTAACTCAAACATAGATGTCTTCTTCTGCCACCAAAAAAAAAAAATGTCTAGCTAGCATTCTAGAAGAACAATGATGGGTTTGTTTTCGGTTTATTCCTACGGTTGCCCGTACGTATATATTCGCCGCATTATTTTACCAAATTCATCTATATAAGGCTATTTAACCATGTCTTGGAAAATTTAAGAGGCTCTTCTGGTACTTAATTTCTTAATTCATCAACACGTTTTTTACTGACAAATCATTAACACGTAGAACCCAATTAACTATAGTCGATTCTTGTTACATTTTATCTATGGCTACAACCAAACAAAGTTTCAAAGATGAGCTGTACCAAGTTATACGGCTGCATACAATTTAGAATCTGTGCTTGGTCTCCAATAAAGTCACATATCTATTTCTATTTCTCTATATCTATATCTCTATCTATCTATATATTAAAGAGGTAAAATTTCTCTCCATTTTTCGTCTCACCTCCCTCTAACTACACGGACAATGGAGAGTTCTTTTCCTTTGATTTTTTTTTATTTCTCAAACTGTACAAACATCCTCGGTGTCTCGTATGTGATCCGGACATATGACCCATACTCTACTAATTAGAACAACTCTCGTCTAAGGGTGATGGATACAGAAATTCCAATATGTATTGGGTCGTACCTTACGCATCTCATATGTGATCCGGATGCATAACCCGTACTTATACGTGTTAGAACAACTCGCATCTAGCGATGATACCAACTTCGAGCCTGTTACCGCTTCACACTGTGAATGGATTGCGTTGATTGCCATTTGGATGGACCGGCCCGTAGATAGATGGCAGCGTGAATGGATACAACACAGTATATCTCCGTTAACCCTCTTCTCACAGCGCTATTCGCTCCGTTCTCAGAGTCAGGTCCGCTGCCCCATTGTCGCCCCGGTGTGCACATACAACCAAACAAGTCGTGTTAACCGTTGCCTTGTAACGGTTGGTGCTGGTTTCCGTCCCGATTTATGTTGCCGTTGCCTGTGCTGAAACAAATAGCACCTCGTTGCAAAGCACAGATACATTTGCTAGTATAATAAAATTATGTGCCCGACATCCACAAGCTCAAGGAAAAGTTGGACCAATCAGGCTCTAGTTATAATAGTTGCTCCCAACAAATAATAGCCTCTAATCCAGCCTTGCGTCTCACGGCTCGCGCCGCTGGCCCCCTCCCTCCCCATCCGGCATATCATCGGAGGCCGAAGGGAGTGGGGATCCATCGTTTTTAATAAGTTTTTGCAGTAGATCGAGCCATTAGGGTTAGGTCTCTCCATGCCAAGTTTTTTTTGGTTTTGGGGATTTCTCTCCTCCCTCTCCGGCGACGGCGAGAGGGCAAGGTAGAATCGTTTTCTCCATGACGGCTCCATTGAAGATGAGGGCAACAACTACGGCGTCAACATCCTCACCGATATGACATAGAGACTTTTATTTTCGGACCGCGACATCAAGGCGGAGATAGTGTCGCCGCCGTGGAATAATTTTCTCCGATCTCTTCTCCGTTTTATTGTGGTTGTGATCTGGCTACGATGAAAGACTAGGGAGAATAAGTTTCAGATCAGTCTTTCTCATTCTTCGGTGGCGGAAAGAAAAAGAAGGAAGACACCATAAAAGAAGAAGTTTCTCAACTTTGCCTGCATGAATGTTGGCCGTCGGTCGTTGGGCATTTGTTCTTAGGCCTTTTGCCGAGTGTTTATCTATGCGGTCATTCATACTGCAAAGCTTTGTACAGGTTTGGTTTTGAGATCTGGAACTATTCACAGCGTTTAGATGGAAATTAGTTTCTGGATACTTGTGTAATCCAAAGTGCTTATAACACGTTGACGTACCCAGCTATTACCTAATATAATTCTTGTTTGGTCGCAAAAAAAAAAACAAATAATAGCCTCATCCCAACTCCTGGACGCATTGAATCTAAAGCACGTAATGTAAGCATAGCAAAGCCCGCCTCCAACTTTTGCGGCTTTCTTTTACATCCCTGGCCATATCTCTTGCCCCTCTTGCCCCCGCTGTGGTTGTTTCTTGCACGTAAACCCTCCCGATCCGATTGATCTTCCGAGAATTTTCAAGGCCAGCAGCAGCCTTTTTGCCCCTTGGGAATATTTTGAGCCCGGCCGCAACTTGCGAGGGCATCTCGTCCTTTTCTGCCGCTGCCATTTCCGATTTCCCTGTGCGCTGCTGCTGTTCGCGGCTGGACCCCCCTGCCCTGCCTGCGCATTGTTCCTGATACGATGCGTTGTGCGTTCCGCCTGGAGGCAACCAGGGTCGCATCGCAATCGGCTCGATCGGCTTCGGGCTACCGCGCGGATGTGACGGCGATCTTCTCATCAGCTGGTGGGCGGTGGCTGCTGGCTGGTGCGGTGCGCGCACTGACGTTTAGCGGCGTCCGGCCGCCAAACCTTTATCTTGCGCTGGACTAAGAATTTTGTTGCACCTGAATACCTGATCGGTTAATCCATCCTCGATACAAATAGGATGCGGATTGGCTTGCTTTATTATTTTATAAATACTCGTCTGGTACGGCAAGTTTATGATGGCGTGGCTAGATAATGCGTATACTTTGGTGGAATCGTAAAAGCTATCGAATTGATCTGGAGCTACATGATCAACCGGTTCTCTTTGCTTGTCAAGTGTACTAGTGTAGTGCCCATCTTTTTCTTGATGGGAGATTTTTCCACGGCTAAAGACTAAGCTCTACCGGCTAATACTAGGGAGGCTCGAGGCTTTTCTTTCTTTCTCACCAAGAAAGTGGCCGGGTTAAATCGAGGGAAAATCCTATGCACGTCATTTTCTATACAGCTAGGCCACCATGGTGCACTTTATTATTAATTAATCGATCGAGACTTGAAAAAGTCTCAGTGTTGTGGAGGCACCGGCGCTATTTGCGTCCATCGATCTATCCATGAGAGGCTTTATTTTATAGGATATATATAAGAGCAAAAGTTTTTTTTCCTTCTTTCCTTTTTCAGCGAGAAGAGAGCACAAGTAATATAACAAATAGAATATAGATTTAATAAGAATAATAAGGGCCTCTTTGGCACGGCTTATGCCGGCTTCGGCTTCATCTATTTTGCGCAAAAATCGAGGCACTGTAGCGTGAACCCGTTTTGTAAGCCGGGGTTAAAATGAACTAGAAGCCGGGAAAAGGCAGTTTTTCTGGCTTCACCGGCTTTGGCTTCACCGGTAAAACCGTTTTGGATGAGCCGTGCCAAAGGGGGCTTAATTCAGTTTTTTATAGACAGGTTTAAATCCTGGACTTGACATGGACACTTATATTTTTTATAAAGTTACTAGATAAATGCCCGTGTGTTGGTTGCACTGAGAGCACGAAATGTTTGTTAACATCTATGGCTGCAGATTTGTAGAAAATACTAAAAATTTTCATCGGACGTGGATTTGTCGGATATTTTTTTTCTTTTCTATAAATCCGCCGGCAGAGATGTGAACAAAAATTTCGCACCGAATACTTTGAACTGAACCAAGATCCTTTCAAATAATAATGATAAAGGAACCGCATGCCATGTCATTTAGCAATTGCAAAGCAAGCCTGCTGGACGTCTCCAGCAGCAATGCATCACACCGATGGCAAGTCAAAACTGAATCAACAAGGCAAAGCACCTGTGATTGTTTCGCCACCGGTTCTGCTCTGTCCTGGCCATGCCCCTGGGGAGGAAGCAGAGACTGACGCCCTGGTGTTGCGCCGCCTTGATGAGGTAGAACAGCCATCCCGGCGGCTGCCTGTGCGCGGGCTCGTGGGCTTGTTTCACCTCCTCCAGAAAGCTGTAATCTCTGAGGATATGCACAGCACGTATATAGTATATAGTATAGTATAGTGTGTATATATATATATATATATATGGAAAAATTGTTTGGCGGACATCCAAAGTGATGGTCGTTTGCTGGCGGAGACCCCGTTTTGAGCAGTTTGCCACAAGACACTCTGGTTCGGTGAAATTAGGCCACAGGACACCGTGGATCGGTTGCAGCCGGTCGAGGAGAGAGAAAATTTTGTTTTGGACATCCGGTGCCCCTGAGCCCCAGTTGGGTCCGCCCCTCTCCCTCTCACTGACGCGAGGGCCCCACCTGCCATCTTCTTCCTCCTTTTCTCCTCTTCTCTTCTTCCATTGCTGAGCAGCAGCC